TAGCTCAGTGGTTAACGCTCGCTGTAAATATAACAGAACGCGAGTAACCCGGGTTCGATCCCCGCCGGCACCAATGAAATTGTTAATTGCAATTTTAAGTGCTGATTTACCACGTGCTCGGCGGTGAAGGAAAACATCGTGAGGAAACCTGCATGTCTGAGGAATAAGAAAAAAAATATTTCGAAGACATGTGAAGTTCGTCAACACGCATTTGGGCAGCGCGGCGGACACTTCCTTGCCCGAAACCCTCTCAGAAATGAGGGGAGGCCTGAGCCCAGCAGTGGGACGTATATAGGCTGTAACTTTACTTTACTTTATAGTAAGGAAATAAGCAGTATTGTGTTCGTGTAGCATTCACTTCAATTTGATAAATAGTGTAATAGTTATTAGATTGAAACACATTTATCGAGAAATCTACGTTGCAGTTCGAACTTTTGTTAAAGTATTGTTGTTGTTTCTAGCCTAAAATGTAAAATAAAAGTGATACAGGGAATCACTTTGTAAAAAAAGGATCGAGTGGCTTATGTGCAAACCACTACTAACACAAGCGTTTCAAGCTTACCAGGAGTGGTTAAAAGGAATATTAATAATGTTAATTATTAAGATTACTAATATTTTATTTAAAAAAATATTAAAGTTCAATTAAAGAAAAAATCGTAAATTCTTGAAATTTCATGTTTGAAAACGTCGCGATTAATCGAAAATCGATCTTTTAATTCTCGATTTAATCGATTCAAATCGATTCAGAGATCGATTTTTTTAAGAGTGAATCGACATGCCTAATTATAAGTAAAAGAAATATTTAGTGGTGATTTTTGAACGATTTTTTATACGTGGTAGAGCCATGCTGCAGTTATATTAGTAGTATAGTTGTAGCACGCATGGGTCGGCTCGACCGGGGAAGGACCACGCTCTCACAGAATATCAGCGTGAAATAGTAGCTTGATGCTGCTGTATTTCGTATGGTGAGTGTAGAGAACCGGTGACCCTTTTTACTGGAAACGAGGCATTCCATCTTAGTCCTCACGGCTGACAACGCATCTGCATTTTGATTCGTAATCGAGGATAGATGTAGATGTCTATGGGCCACAGCAACCACTTACCATCAGGTGAACTGTGTGCTCGTTTGTCACCCTATCCTATAAAAAAAAAACTGGCCCGAATTGCATAATTTTGGTTTTATCAAAATTAATCTCTAGGTTGTGATGTGTCAGCCAATTTGTAACCTGGTTCATTACTTGATTCAATTTATTATTTAAATACTGGTCTTTTGTATGCGTAATAAGAATGGAAATGTCATCAGCAAATATAATAGAGGTTTGAGAAAGGAAATCGCACAACACAAAATGTAAAATTGCTCTACATACCTTAAGAAAAAAAAAACATTTATTATTTGTAATTTTATATAATTAAAATAAAAAAATTCATCATTATCGACGCTTTCCAAAATGCGAATGAGAGTCTGAGGAATCGTTCAATGATGCACTGCACTACTTTTCCCGCTATTCGTTTATGACGTCATCAGGATGTTGTCTATCCTTGACCACGGCGCCCAATGAACTGATAATCGATGACGCGATAATGATGCGCCAGAGTTGAGATATTAGATTTATTTCAAAAATTTTCTTTTATTTATGTAGCTGACGATAGTTTTGTATTTCTTACCTTTTGTGTTATTCAAATATCAATAATAGTTTTAAAAAAAATACGATTGCGTTTAATTTTGAATAGTTTTCAATAAATCAATGCCTAACGCATTACACTAGCGGTCAAACATAGACGACTTTGGCGTGCTGGACATAGTATTTGCTTAGATAGAAATCCATTTTTTTAGTTCAATGTTTCTTAGTACTTGTGGCTCTAGGAGACTTGTTTTTATACTAACATATTGCTGGGTTATTCTTCTTTGAGGGGTGTCATTATATCTATATATTTTTGTGGGCCGGGTTTTTTGTCAACTATAGACGTCGTTGGTGCTCAAAGCTCGCAGGTGCGTGTCAAGTATAGGCGACCTTGGCGCTCAAAAGGTTAATGAAGGGATACAGAATACGAGTATGACGCCGGATGAAAAACTGTATAAATCAATAGACACAATGATGAATCGAGACGAAAGTGTGAACTTCCCAACAGTTCTTAAATTTACCGAATCCGCTTGGTATGCCTTTGAATGTATTGAAGCTAAAAATTGGATCAACAGTCATATTATTATGAAATTTTAATTCACTTAAATTATTTAACGGTACAAGATTATGTATAAAACAACTTCTCAACAACATTATTGAGACAGTAATTCTAACTGGCAAAGAAAAAGGAAAATCCATTTTTATACCACGAATTTAATTAATTTCAAATGATTTACCATTCTGTTTTAAACGGTTACAGTTTCCTCTACGATCGGCTTACAGTATAACCACAGAATAAATAATAGTACTACGTACAGAAGTTGCACTCCTTTGATGTCAACTGCTTGCCGGCGTTTAATAGCTTACATAATTATTATTAATCAGATAAATCGCGCACGCAAGCTAAATAAAACTTTTTCGCTGCGCGTTAGTGTCCATATTACTGCATCTTTTCCGCTTTCTAAGTCACGGCGGACTTTCCGTGGTTATTAAGGAATGTCAATAGAAAGTTAAAAAATACATTGCGAAATGTTAATTATGTCACTTAGGTGAAATACCTATTCTGACTATGATCGACTGACCATACTTTCGCCCCTATGTGAGTTCTGCGATGCCTAACGCATGCAAATTTCATGGCCATTCGTCGGGAATCGCAACGCTTGGTTCGGAAGAAATAGGTAGATAGTGTAAACAACAAATAAACCTGAAATACGATTCCTAACAGAAATGTGATTTATTCTACTTACTTAAAAATCTTAGTATACAAAGTTTTAATTTCAGTATTTTGTGTTATTATAACTTCAAATATTTTAATTACAAATACAAGTATAGGTATGTATGTAAGTAGGTAAATACTTGGATAGTGAAGTAAATTTTAACTAATTTTTGTAATAAAGTACTTAGGTATTTCTTCTGTAGACCAAATTATTACTTAATTCTTTTTAGCTGTAAGTACCTTTCTAACAAAAAAATTAAATAACCTTTCATAATTTCCTTCTAAAATTTTCGGTAACTTAAAGAATGATAATATGAAACCTTTTGTTGGTCATTTCATTTAGTATCCATCCACGCAACAGTTATAGTAGGAACGACGTTTTGCTATTATAATTTATCAAATAGGTAATATACATAATATATAATTTTTAAAATACATTGAAACTTTTACAACTATTTTCACCTACAATTAAATATACTTAATACTAAACAAAAGCTATTTCAACAAGTATTTACATAAAACTATTTACGTAAACAGCGTTAAAAAACTTCAACATTGACTGCGTATAACGCTCAGGGTGCCTCGCGATTTTAGCTAATTATTTCACGCAGGTAGCAAGAGTGACAGAGGCCTGGTATAACTATCAATAAGGCACAAGGTCAAACGTTCCAATATTGTGGAGTGAATTTGGGAGAATTCCGTTTTACAAGTGGTCAACTTTATGTAGCTTTTTCGTGCGTTGAACAGAAAAAAATATTAACACCAGAAGAAGAGACAGTAAATGTAGTGCATAAGAATGAATTGTAATAAAGGTATTCAGTACACGACTATCTGTAAAGTATTTTTGTATGATGAATAAAAACATATGTAAAAAAAAAACTTAAAAATTTAACAAGAAAAGTCATGTGTTCTTAATTTAAAAAAAACTAATTTAATAAAATATACATTTATGAATAAATATTCAACGAAAACTAATCCAGCGAAGCGGGTTTTCACAGCTATTGTACATTTATTTTACCAGATTATCACGAAGAATATTTTGCTCCAGTGTGTATATTCAAATGCCTTTGCATACTACCTTTTGTAACACACTTATATTCACAGATATTACATGAAAAAGGTTTTTCTCCGGTGTGTATTTTTATATGTGTATGCAAATAACTTTTCCTATTACATCTATATTCACAGATATCACACGAAAAAGGTTTTTCTCCGGTGTGTATTTTCATATGTGTATGCAAATTACTTTTTGTAATACATCTATATTCACAGATATTACACGAAAAAGGTTTTTCACCGGTGTGTATTTTCATATGTGTTTGCAAATAACTCTTTTTAACACATCTAAATTCACAGATATTACAAGAAAAGGGTTTTTCACCAGTATGTATTTTCATATGTGTTTGCAAATAACTCTTTTTAACACATCTAAATTCACAGATATTACAAGAAAAGGGTTTTTCTCCGGTGTGTATTTTCATATGTGTTTGCAAATAACTCTTTTTAACACATCTAAATTCACAGATATTACACGAAAAAGGTTTTTCTCCAGTGTGTATTTTCATATGTGATTGCAAATAACTCTTTGTAATACATCTAAATTCACACATATTACACGAAAAAGGTTTTTCTCCGGTGTGTATTTTCATATGTCTCTGAGAAACTTCCTTTATTTGTAATACATTTATAATCACAATTATTACAACAGTACACTTGCTTAGCGGCGTGCACTTTAAGATGTGCTAAAATGCGACGTTTATGAGATGTTTTAAATTCGCAAATTTCACAGTTATATATATCCATTAGTTGTGGTACTGGAGTTCGTTCAACTTGTGTCTGAACTGTGTCTGAGTCCTTTGGCGTCTTATGACTGTATGATATGTGGTCGGCGAGAATATCTTTTGTAAAAAACTGTTTTTTACAATCATCACAATCAAATATGTATTTTGTTGATGTCTCAGATGTGTTTTCCGTAAGTATATTTACACTCTGTTTCAAAATTTTCTTTTTCATGATTTTTGCAGAATGCTTCCCTTTTTTAATAACTGGTCGAGTGTCTCTTTTCAGTTTACGCTTTGATTTAATAGTAGGGCTTTCTAAATCGAGGTTTCCTTTACGAACGTCATTTATGTTACAATCAGTAGAATTTGATTTAATCTCACACGGTTTTGAAAAATTATTTGTTTGTATGCGGGGCCGTTCTGAAATACAAATGAATCAAACATTTTATTTATTGTAATATACCTTAGACGGTTTACAATGGGCGGAGATTATGTCTTATGGCATTCTCTCTATCAGTCAACCCAGGGAGATATAGAGAAATTATAATATTTTACATAATTATACTAAATAATGGTGCTAGATATAAAGTATTTTAGCCAATTACTCTAGATAACAGATTCATTTTTTGGTGGGAAAGAATGTTAAAGAATCTAAATCCGAATAGTAATGATGACGTTCTTCTGACCATGTTATAATTACATTAATCTAATAATCGCTGGTTCGAATCCCACACAGAAAGCGTCATACATACATACATACATTTTGACTAGTATTGTTGTAGATATTAAGAATACAATCTAGGTAGTAATATTAGAAAAATCTATTCTAACAATCGCTGTTTCGAATTCCACACAGAACTAGTCTTACACACACAGTACAGTCGAAGTTGGCGCGTAAGTGCATAAGAGAATTCATCATCACATTTTATTCCGTGGGTTTCGTAAGAGGCTACTATAGGTTTATTTTTTCGACAGATGGCGGTATAACCACCTCGTTTACTTCAGATGTAAAATATCCAGACCGGCGACAGGCAACATTGGCACGTGCTTACGTCTGGTTCTGCGATCGTCAATCCCATACCAAGCAGTCATGCTTCCCTACATGGGGAGACGTTCTTCCACGTGCAGCAGTGGAATTTTACGGAACGATTAAAATGGAGGAATTGTTTGTAGGTTTATTTTATAGAAGAGGGGGCAAACGAGCATGCGGCTTACCTGGTGTTAAGTGATTACCGCAGCTCATGATCAACCGCAAAACCAGGGGAATTGCAGGTGCGTTGCCTGCCCTTTAGAAACGAGTAAGTTCTTTTCTTGAAGGTCCCCACTATTCTTCAAGGTCTATGGTCCGGAAAAATCGCCAGTGGTAAACTATTCCACAGAGAGGTCGTACGCGGAAGAAAACTCCTTTTGAAACGTACAGTGATAGACCGCCAAGTATCCAGATGGTGTGGAATGGTATCGGGACGTTTGCCACGTAGTGCGTTCACGAAATTTGGCGGCTGGGATTAATACGAACAATTCCTCAGAGCACTCCCCATGGCATATGCAAAAGAAAATGCAAAGAGATGCAACATCTCTTCGCAGTGCCAGTGAATCGAGCCGATCGGAAAGCACTCGGTCGTCGACGATTCGAGCCGCTCTGCGCTGGGTGCGGTCAAGTGGAAGGAGCTGGTACTGGAGAGCCCCAGCCCAGAGATGGGAACAGTATTCCATCTGCGGCCGAACCTGCGCCTTATAAAATTGCAGGCGGTGTGCCGGCATGAAATACTGTCCCGCTCTGCTGAGCACGCCAAGCTTTTTAAAGCCCAATTTGGCCTCCTCTTCCAAGTGACCACAAAACTGCACGTCACTCGATATGTCGACGCCGAGGATTCCGATACCGGCAGAGGCAACAAGGGGAGTGCCTTGAATCTGAGGAGATACGACAAAGGGGTTCTTTTCAGCGGTTAACGCGCAAACTTGTGTCTTCTGGGGGTTAAACTGGACTAGATTTAGTCGCCCCCAATCCGAGACTCTGTTCAGCAAAGACTCGACTTCAGACACAAGTTTGTCCCGGCACTCGGAGACGTTTCCCCGAGAAATATTGGCTCGGCCGGTGTAAAGAGCATCACCAGTGCTGTCATCTGCATAGCAATGAATGTTACGGGTTTGCAACATACCATTGATATGCAGAAGAAACAGCGTTGGCGATAGCACGCAGCCCTGTGGAACACCAGCATTAATAGGCTTGCAATCGGAGCTTGCACCGTCTACAACGACCTTGATGCTCCGATCTGCAAGAAAGCTGGTGATCCAATCGCACAATTTCTCGGGAAGCCCATAGGAAGGGAGCTTCGAAAGAAGCGCTTTGTGCCAAACCCGACCGAAGAAGGCCTTCGCAATGTCTAAACTAACGGTCAATGCCTCCCCCTTGGACTCTACTGCCTCCGCCCATCTATGAGTTAGGTAGACCAGAAGATCACCAGCTGACCGACCACGGCGAAAACCGTATTGGCGATCACTAATCAGCTGGTGATCCTCAAGGTACCTCATGAGCTGGCAGTTTACAATGGACTCCATTGTTTTGGAGAACAAGGAGGTGATGGCGATAGGCCGGTAGTTGGACGGACTAGAAAGGAAAAGACGCGTTAAAACCGGTGCCAACTCTGGAGCACACGTCCTCAGCACAATTGGGGGGATTCCGTCAGGCCCACTCGACTTGTGAATGTCCAGGGAGAGGAGTGCTTTGCGAACCGAGCCCCGTGTGAACTGCACTTCCGGCATGGAGCACTCACACCGCGGTATGGTCGGCGGCGTACTCCCCCCGTCATCGAGAGTCGAATTGGACGCAAAGAAAGAGCCTAGAAGATCGGCTTTCTCCTTTGCGGTATGGGCCAGTGAGTCGTCCTCTCTGTGCAGAGATGGAAGAGATGGCTGACAGAAATTCCCCTGGACAGCCTTGGCGAGAGACCAGAATGCACGGGTTCCAGAAGGAAGGCGAACTAGTTTCTCGCCGATTCTGCCTATGTGCCTGACTTTGCCTTGGCAATGACTCTTTTGAAGGACCTAGAGGCGGAATTATACTTCTTTTTTAGACCGCTGGTGTTTACATCCCGGGACGTTGATGCGTCAGCCCAGGCTTGGCAGCACTCCTGCTTATAGCATGATGCTATTTTACAGGAGCGACCAAACCATGGCTGAGATTTGCCTCCAATGGGCAGCACAGAGGAAGGAATAAAAAGTTCCATACCCTGAAGTACCACATCAGCGACAGAATCCGCGACAACGTTGGGATCGTCCGGCGAGAAGCAAACCCGGTCCCCCGGGTAGGATGCAAAGAAAGACCGCATCCCATCCCCATCGGCTGACCTATAGTGCCAAACACGGCGGCAGCCTGCAGAATGCAACTGCGATTTCAGCGTGAGTGGCCACACTCCGGACAAGACAATGGTCCGAGGAGCCTAAAGGGGCGTCAACGTCAGGTCATACAAAGATTCAAAACAAGCCCTGGTAGCTCAGGGGCCAGTAGTTTGCCATAAGATTTTACAGTACGCTAGCAACCCAGCCTCATTCTCCACCGGCATCCATAAAATTGTACAAATCGACGTCAAGTCCGAGTCGGGTGATAGGTTAAGTCATAATAGTTAACAGAAAAATTTCAAAAATATTTTTGAAATTTTTGTATTTTGTAATGTATTTTAAAAATTACAAGCATTAATAAAAATCGAAAAAATCTACATCCTCTCACAGTCTTTTAACTCCTGTTGCAACAAATATTAATTCTTTTTTCAATTTTATTTTATTTTTTATAGGATAAAGGTGACAAACGAGCACATAGTCCACCTGATGGTGAGTGGTTGCTGCGGCCCATAAACATCTACATTTATCCACAATTAAAAATCAAAACGCAAATGCGTTGTCACCCCTGAGCACTGCGATACCAGTATCGATCATCTCGATCCCAGTAAAAAGGGTCACCGGATTTCTACACTCACCATACAAAACACAGCAGCATTAAGATATTATTTTTCTGTGAGAGTGTGGCCTTTTCTCGGTCGAGCCCACCCATTCATGCTACAACCATAACATGGCTGCAACGTGGCTCTACCATGTACAAAATTATTATTGTGTACTTAATTTTATTTTTTGCCTAACTCGGCATCTCATGATTAGCAGATGTACTTACATCAACTTTCTCAGACGTTAGTAGCCCTATCAACAAATCAGTGAATCCCCTTTCCTGTTTTATCTTAATAACACCTTGGGTCACCACCGGCGAATTCAGTTCTTGCTTAAAACAACACAATTGTATGGCATACAAATAATCATTTTGGTTCATTTGGGTCACAAACAATTATTTGGTTTGTTCATGTGTAATAAAAGAACAAAATTTTGTATGAGCAGTACATCTCCAACCACATGATGCAAGATAAATTTCTAATGTGGTGTTTTTTTTTAAATTTTTGATACGGTTTTTTAAAATAAATTCTTTTACCTATGTCAAAGTCATCTGTTATACTCTTTGAACCACACATAATTAGTGCCAAGTCGTTATCCAAATCCTTATGTCGATCGTCAAAAGCATCAATCTCCAAGTCTTCTTGTTTTACAGCAGTATCTGGAATGAAACAGATTCTGACTCAATATATAAAATCTGATATTCCTTCCAAGCGACTAGATCATTACAGTCTATCACACAGCTCATGGACCCGAGCCACCCACTTTCAGTACCATACTGCATGTTTTATGAGCTAAGTGTAATAACCTAAAGTGGCAATGAGCTGAAGAACTGAAAAACGATGTAGAAGAAAGGTTCTCCTAACGTGTCGTAATTTTGGCAGCCTCATGCCAGTAGACGAAGTGTAGGGCGGTCCCCCACACATGCAGAAAGTCAATGGATCCAGACAGCTCAGGACCATGTTTTATGGTGTTCCTTGGGGGGGTCTATGTTCAGCAGTGGACTTTTTTGTTATAGGATAAGGTGACAAACGAGCACACAGTCCACCTAATGGTAAGTGGTTGCTGCGGCCCATAGACATCTACATCTATCCTCGATTACAAACCAAAATGCAGATGCGTTGTCATTCGTGAGAACTAAGATGGAATGCCTCATTTCCAGTAAAAAGGGTCTCCGGTTCTCTACACTCACCATACGAAACACAGCAGCATTAAACTACTTTTTACGCTGGTATTCTGTGAGAGCGTGGTCCTTACCCCGGTCGAGCCGATCTATTCGTGCTACAACTATACTACTAATATAACTGCAGCACGGCTCTACCACGTATAAACTTACTGACTACTTGTAAAGGGATGTAATGAAGATGATGATTCCTCAACCTCATTTAGTCAGTGTTTGTCACAACCTGTTTTAAGTAGGTGAGTGCTTGCCAGTACGAGGATGCTTTGAGCATCTTTTATCCATATATTTTTTAGTATGAAGTGACAAACAAACTAACAGTCCACCTTATGGTATGTAGCCGATCCACCTGATGGTAAGTGCATACTGCAGTCCATGTACTGCCTGCAGCTAACTTCAAACATAAAAGGCTACAATGCGCTGTCACCTCTGACGACTAAGATGCAATGTCCCACAGCCTGTGATTATACTGACTCTATACTCTTCAGATGCACCTGACCTTTGACACAGAAATAGAAACAGGAAGGAGGAGTCCTCTGGTTTAAGAAATCGGCAAAGATAGGCGGTAGCTCACCAGTTGTAAGTATTCATTAACTCCTATGAAGTAATACATCTTAGTGTTCCTACATACTGGCTGCATTTATACAGGGTCAAAACATTCATAAATATATTTATACATAGGTAAAAGAAAATGTGTAACTGTGGTGGACTGCAATATTAGTTTTAAATGTAAACATAGTTTCAGTTTTATATTAAATATATAAATAAAATGAAACCTTATGTAATTAGTAATTAGCATATAAAATACTAACTACATATATATAAATAAAATGTATAAATAAACATGATATATATAAATAGATGTAATATAATAAAATACATAATGTTATATAAGTTAAATTTAAATGCCTATTAGTTGTCTATATGTCGGAAGGCAAAGACGTAAAAATCGTATCGTATAAATGCTCCAGGTGATAAACAAAGAACTTGCGTACGTCGTCGGCCGTCCTTCAGTTGACCGCAGACTTCCGCAGTGAATCCGTGTCGCTTGTGCTTCTAAATTATCTTATGCTGCATTGTTTCCGCTGAATTTCTTCTTCCTATGCTATTGACTTTCTTGCATATACTTCTGTGCTGTGCTTTTTTTCGCTATAAGACTTGCTTGTGTTGGTGGAATTATAGATTAAATAATATAATCATTGTGTGTGGTATAATAAACATTGTGGAGTCAAGTAAGTGTTTACTTCTTTCAATACCCAACACTACATAACAATGCTCATTATGAAGTCCATGTGTGCTTACCTTTTAGATAATTATTTAATTTGTTATTTTCTTTCTCCGTGAGTGCTTTTTACATGCACATTGAACTTAGGCAAAAGCAAATCAGTACATTGCACATGAAGTCCTCTTTATTTTGTGTCCATGGGCTACAGTAACCACTTGCCACTAGGTAAATTGTACCTAAAATTAATAATATCACAAAATGTGTATATCTTACCTGTTTCATGATTCCCGTTTCCTTCAAATTTGAAATTCTCGTTTTCGATATTGTCTTCCTCAACTTTAACAGATTCAAGGCTAAAAATGTCATCATTACAATCATTTTCTATATCACACTCTACTGGCCAGATATCTATATGATTGATCGGTGTGAATTGAATCTCATCTCTAGCCTCATGTGGTTTTAGCATTGACTGAAACCAAACTCTTTTTTGAATAAAAGTCATGTATGTATGGCGTAGGAGAATCCATACTACCCCATACCATCCCGCAGACACAGCAGCATCATCCTGACAACAACACCAAATAACAATAAAAACTGGACGAAAGGGAGAGTTTCCAATAAATTTAAACAAGAATGTAGAGAGTTTAGAAATGTAATTAGAATCGAGACTAAACAATTTTTCCATTCAAATTCACAAATACTGTAAATTGACAAAAGTTTACTAATCTATAAATAATATTTCGTTTTTATACAATAGATGTGATTTTATACATAACATTATAAACAGTTTGATAATTATTTTTGCAAAAATAAGTACTTCACTTACTGCAATTCATAAAATATAGAACATTGCTCTTACGAAAAAGTAAGTTGGATTGAAAGACAAACTTAACTTTACAGTAGAAAAAACATTCTCCCATATAAAAAAATAAAATAAACAATGGTAGACTTCTTCTTTCGAATGCGAAATGCGCCCGTATCAGAAGTAAGCCCCTCTTTCATAACATAAAATTTACTAAAGCAAGAGCCGCATATACTAAATTTAACGCTGAATGTAAACAACAAATATTTTTTAAATTTATAAAATAGAAATATTGTGTGTAGTGCATGTGTTATATTCTCCTTGAGCACATCTTAAATCCCACAGTTTTCTAACTTCCACAACAGAATGGAGTAACACAATGTCAAATGCCTTTGTAAGATCAAGAAACACCGCGAGGCAATTTAAATTTTTATAAAGACTATCAACAACTACAGATGTTAGGGCTTCTACAGCATCTTCAATCGAATTTCCTGCTTGAAAGCCAAACTGGATAAGATGTGAAACTTATTGAGGAAACTTATGAGCCTCTTGTCGATAAGTTTTTCTATAACTTTTGAATATATAGCTTTTTAGTGAAATTGGTCTGTAGTTGTTGATATCCTTCTCATCTCCACTCTTGTGAACAGGTGTTACTAACTTTCAATTCAGACATTATTCTAGATATCGGAATAGATAAAAATACTATTGAAGCAAATAACAAATTAAATATGCTCCTCCTCCAAAATTGGCATGATTGGTTAACTATGTACACTGATGCTTCAAAGTTAAGTAACGATGGATTAGTAGGGTCTGCAGTGTGGATCCCTAAATACAGGATTATTTTAACTCTAACTCTCCCCCTGACTCATCTGTATTCACAGGTGAGGCTTTGGCTATTTTAGAGGCAGTTTCATATGCAGAATCACATGGTCTGAAAAGGACCCTCATTTTCTCGGACTCCCTTAGTTGCCTTCAAAGTATTTTATCCAGTCCTTTTCACTCTAAGATTAGATACCCGCTAATTATAAATATTAGAAAGTCTCTGAACTATTGTCATAAAAAAGGGCTGAACATTGTATTGGCTTGGATCCCTAGCCACTGCGGGATTCAGGGCAATGAAATTGCTGATAATTTAGCTAAAGATGCCACAAAATTTGGCTCTATCCCTAGACAATGCCTCTATGCACATGACCTCCTGCCAAAGGCCAACACCGGCCTTCTGTCTTCTTGGCAAAGTTATTGGCATCAGTCTAAATTTTTAAAATGTAATCAATATTCCAAAGTCCAAATTAATATCCCATCAAAACCCTGGTCCTTTCAATATCGCCACTTTAGTAAAACTACCACCTCTACTGTTTGCCGCCTACGCTTTGGTCATACTTGTACTCCTGTACACATGGCCAAACTCAGGATTAGGGATAGCTCAATCTGTGAATGTGGCCTAGACGAAGGATCTGTCAATCATCTGTTCTTTGAGTGTCCTAAACTTTCTTTCTCTATCTACGATATCCTGCCCAATTACATCCCTCGTCCAGTAAATTTCCAATTTTTGCTAACCCTAGTGTATACTCCCTTCGTAAATATTTTATGTGCTTTTATTCGTACTAATAATATTAAACTGTAAAATTACTTAACAACTTTGGTGATGGTAGTTTAAATATGTGACGGCTTTTGTTGTAGATTGTGAACCCAATCATTAAATTGAGAACTCTTATTTTAACTATTATTATCTTGTCACTTCCATGACTGACTTGACACTGGCAGAATTCTACCAAGAGAAGCCATAATTTAAAAGAAGAAGAAGAAGACAAAAACATTCCGTACTTAACTTACTTATATTAAAATAACATGTAGTAGAGTAGAACACTTGACTTGTGATAGCTGGTATAGATTTGTGTTTATAAGCAAACATTATAGTGATCATTAAATTGCCTGTCAAGTGATGATTAAGGCAAATAGTTATTATAATGGGAATGACCTATCAAGCAGTGAACTTTTATTAATAAGTATTCCCTGGACCTTGTAGTGATGGTTTTAGGATATCCACTGCTCTGTCGTAAGAGCCGACAGAGGGAAACAGAAACAGGAGTTGGGCAGCAACATCTTGCTGATAACTACATTGGCAACATTGCTGATATGAAGCAATCTCCAACAGACTTTTATAAGTATAAATGGATGGAATAGATAATACCATGGACCCTCCTGCAAGCAACTGCTCCAGAACTGCATTTGACTCAATAGCCTGTTGTTGTAATGTTCTGCAACGAATGAGTCTTGCATGACAGATGAAACAGACAATTATGGGCTCCTCAACCTCATCCATCTGAAAATATGAAAATTCATCACAAATATAGGAAACTACTTAATTGTACAAATTTGTAATAAAATATATTAGCCACCACAACTCTCTTCTTCAACATCATTTTGTTATAACATTTAAGTGACAAATAAACTTACAATCCACCTGATGGTAAATGGCTGCCACAGCACATAAGCACCTACAACGAACTTCAAGCAAAGGCTACAGATGCGATGTTACCTCTGAGGACTAAGATACACAACACAACACAATATTTAAACATGTTTGCTTCACAGCCTACTGCTATATACTGGCTCTCAATGTCCTTCAGGCGGGGACACAAACTGTATAAAATCAACTGCAGTATAAAGTAAGTTCCAGATAAGTTTGGACATTTAACAATGTATTATGTATTTCATAAGGATATTGGCAGCAGCATATTGCACATAACAGGTCAGAATAATTAAAAAACTGCAGTTGCCAACCCGCCTTGCCTAGGGTGGCAACTATGGCAAATAATAATAACACCAAAAATGATTCTTAGAATATATAAAACATATATTCAACCAATTTTGGAATATGCATTTCAAATTACACAATACTGAGTGTTGCTGGAGAGGTTCAACACAGATATTCAAAAGTTCCTAGAGCATTGAAAACATACCATATGAGGAAAGTCTGAAAACACTTGAACTTACAACTCACAAAAGATCACAGAAAATGAGCAGAATTGATGAAAACATAACGGACCCCCAGTAATATATGGGCCTAAAACTAAAAAGTAATTCTTTGGGTAAACATGTTTAAATATTCTGGATTCTTACGTTCCGGTTTATTTTGTGAATGAAATTCTTATTACTTAAGTTATATATATAAAATTTGAGGACTTATTCTTTAAGAGATATACTAAAAGTAGCCAATAAAAAAAAGAAAAATATTATGAAATTCCATACATTATAAGCATTTGAAAAATCACTTTCAAGTTAGGCCCATAAATCACAAAAAAATATAATAGTAATGTGGACCTATTTAGGTTTGATCCAGTACATTATTGACATCCATGTCACTGTTTAGTTTACAATCGTAGTTGGTACTCTATATAACAAAATCAAACCACAGGTCTGAACTTATTGTTTCCATTTTATAAATAAAACATCAGATATTAATAAAAATAATACTTTAATAATCAGCCCAAAATAACAAACAATCTCCAAGTTGTTTATTTTTATCAACAATTAAAGGAGCTATTGTAATATTACAATTAAGTCAACATAATATTATTAATAACATTACAACTATAAACTCTTACAAGTAGGTACTTTCCAACTACCGGGTGGCCCATAAGTCCCTTGAAATGTAAAAATATAATTTAAAAAAACTAATGACACTATGAAAAAGGTTTTTATTTTGTCATAATCCTTATAAAATGGGAATTATTTTTTGAAAATTACATCATCTAAATGTAATCCGTTACGATCGCAGCACTCCTGTAAGCGACGTTTAAAATTATCCATCACTGCGCGGCAAGTAAGCTCTGTAATGTTTGCCATTTCTCTTTGGATATTTTCTTTCAGGACGTCAATTGTCCGCGGGTTGGTTTCGTACACTTTAGTCTTAAGATAACCCCATAAGAAAAAGTCCATTGAGGTCAGATCTGGACTACGTGGTGGCCAAGGAATATCTCCTCTTCGAGAGATCACTTTATTAGGGAAAAGTTGACGGACGACCGGCATAGCGACGTTAGAGGTATGGGCAGTTGCTCCGTCTTGTTGAAACCAGGTCCGCGCATTGAAGCCTGGAAAATTCTGCAACTCTGATGTAAAAAAGTCCTGGATCATAGCTACATACCGTTGTGAAGTAACAGTAAGCGCGCGGCCTCTGCCGTCCTCAAAAAAGTAAGGGCCAATAATGCCATGCGCTGACATAGCCGCCCAAACTGTCACTTTAGGGCTATGTAAGGGCTTTTGATGTTTGCGATTTGGATTTTCGCAACTCCAGTAGCGACAATTTTGCTTATTGACATGGCCGTTGATGTGAAAGTGAGCCTCATCAGAGAATAACACGTTATTAATCAAAGTAAAGCGGTACAACATTTCATTTGCGAAATTTAGTCTGTGGATAGTGTCAGTATCTTTTAATTCCTGTACTATCTGAATCTTGTACGGGTGAAGATGTAAATCTTTCTTTAAAATTCGCTGTAACGATGTTCTGGGTAAGTTTAATGCACTGGAACGCTTACGAGTAGACTGGGT